ATCTCCCTAACCCACCTTCTATCCAATTCAGCTAATTTTGTCTCCTGCAACATCACAACATCATGTCTTTCTCTCCTAAGTAGCTCCTTAATCGATCTCCTTTTTCTAGCACTACCCAAACCCCTTACATTCCAGCTTATTATCTTCATTACCTTCCAAGAATTTAGCCCTCCAATATAGTGTTCCTTCATTTAGAACCCTTCTTTCTTTCCCCTCTTATTTTTCTGGCACTCCCTTGTTATGAATTATCAAACCAAAGTACTGGAAAAGGCCAAATTGAGTTATCTCTTGGTCTCCAATCCTAAGTGTACCCTGATTTGCACTCCTAATATTATTAAATTTTGCATTGAATATATTCTGTTTTACTCCTACTTATTTCAAAACCTTTTGTTTCTAAGGTATTCATCCCTAAACTTAATTTTACATTTAATCCTTCATCAGTTTCATCAATTAAAATAATGTCATCAGCAAACAAGCACCATGGAACCTCCTCTTGAATATGTTTAGTCAATTCATCTATGATTTGTGCAAATAAATAAGGGCAAAATTTTTTTATCAATTATGAATAATAATCTAAATACCAAGTCGAATGGCTAAACCATAGGATAGCAAGGTTTAAGTTCAATTCTTAAATTTGTCCAGGATCCCAACTTTAGGCATGAAAATATGTAATATTGTTTGAATAGCTGCTATTTATGGCATTATTTTTACAGTCCAAGTTAAGCTGCAGAATGATATGACATTAAATAGAACAGACTGGTGAAACAGGATTCATGTAGCCGACTCATATAGTTGGAATAAGTATCCATGTAACCGACCCCAAAATAAGTCTTGGGTGATGGTGATGATGTTAAGCTGCAGAAACATATAGAACTGGACTTGAAATTTGAATTTAGAATGAGAAACCCAATAATCATTTGCAATGTTAAGAGACCTAATCTGGATCAAATTGTCAGACCAGTTAATATATGACATGATCCCTTTTCTTGGTTTGAAAAGTTATGAGTTTTAAACCCATCCTGGACTCGTTGACCAGAACCAAGCTGACAAGTTTTTGGTAAGGAATCTTATTAAAAAAGATAGTTTTTTTTTGATAAATTAAAAAAAAAAGATAGTAGTTTTCTTCATTTTTTAATTTAGATATTTTGTTTGTTTGCTAATATCCAAACAACAAACAACATTAAAAATTTAAATGTTACCTATTTTCTATAATATTTTACAGCTAATATCGGATATTAATTTTTATGGGTTTTACCTTTATTAAATTTAATTATGATAGAAGGGGTCATTCGATTGACCCATGAAACAGTCCCTTTACAGGTTTGGTTATGAGGTGTTTTTCTTAATATCACTTGTTTTTATTTCTCCAAACTCATGCCTTCAATGTTAAAGCACTTCAGCTCATTAGCTTGTCACAACTCCCAAATTGACTCCTTGGCTCTTGTTAGTTCTTACTCCCAAATACATGGAGTTGAGTCATGGTTATGACTCCAGATACACATGATTCATCCAAGTTAGGTGATTGACTCCAACAACTATCTCACTCTACACCAAGCTTGCATACTCTATTAACAACAAATGGAAATAAAAGGGAAAAAAGGAAACTTAAAAAGAAGAAAAAAATGAGGAGGCTTGGCCTGCTCTCTCACTCAAGGTCTTTGTACGAAATCCTAGTGAGAAAAAAGAAGAATCTAATTGTCAGGTTTTTTAGGCATTGTATCATTAAATTTATTTCCCAATTGACTAATAGAAAACTGAAGTTTGCCTATTGCTTTTTCAACAGAAATTTTACTTCTCCAGACCCACAAACTTATCCATAAGATCTGAATCAGACACATGTCTTAATCAGAGTTGAAGAACCAAAAACTGATTAAGCATGTAATACAAATATTCAATTTCAGAAATTTAAACTCAAACAAATATTTGGACTGAGTACATGATCTTGAAAGCCAAGGATTTCATTATGCACTCAATAATTTACATAGTTAGTTTTCTGTATGCTTTGTTCTTTCTATGAAAAAACTCAACTACAACAATAATGATTTAAATGTTAAGTGCATTTCATTCTACTTTAGTATTAGAAAACAAATAGTTATTTGTGTTTGAATTTAAAATTATGATTATGAGAAGTGTAAAAAACTAAAAACATACAGGAATAAAAGAAACTATGACTTTCCCCTGTTTGGGAGTACTTAGTTCATAAACAAGTGCTTGAAAATAAATGTTTATCCCAATAAGTGCTTGCGAGTTTTTGGCGAAAAAGCACTTATTTCAGATGGGAGTAGTATAGGTATTTTCAAAATGACATGGCGGGCAAAGATGGACCAGAAAGGAAATAAGCTTGAATAAGAACTTAAAAATAAGCTCAAAATTTGGGCTTCTTGAATAAGTGCTCATTTTCAGGAATAAGCACTTATTCGGGCTTATTTCTCAAATACACATAAGTGCTTATTGGTGTGGTCCCGGCCCAACATAAGTGCTTATTCAAATAAGCACTCCTAAACATGGTATTCTTAAGATTAAGAACTTCAGTACCAAAGGATAAATGAAGAAAATAAGATTAAGAACTTCAGTACCAAAGCCACCAAGTCAGCAAGCTATGGTTGAACAACAAGATCAACAAAGAAAAATCTTAACAACTTTGAGTTCAAAATAGGGTTTACATTCTTAATGTGTTCATAGATGTCCTTTACAGAAAGTTCTGTAATTCCTCTCATGGTAAATGTCTTACCACTGCTGGTCTGTCCATAAGCAAATATTGTAGCTGCAAGAGATAGAAGCCAATAGCAGTTACACGTTGTCAAACTATACAACAAGCTGCATGGAAAGAAAAAATTGAAAACTACCATTTATATCTAAATGTCTAATTACCATTAATTCCACTAAGGACAGATAAAGCAACATCCTTTGCCCCTTCCTCATAAACCTTCCAAGTCAAACAGGTTGGACCAAAAACTTTATCTAACAGTAGCAAACGGTAGATAAGAAAAATTAAGCTCAGATCGGAGTTCCAATCATCAAATCAAGACAGAACTTGCTATAAATTTGTAAGTTTAAAACTAGACTTTTCAATGATAAATGCAAGAGTTTTATAAGGAATTATAGTTAGTTTCTTAATCAGTGAAATAAATGTGAGAACTTCAGTACCAAAGCAATAAGAGGGTGTAGGCCTTCCTGGATGCAAATTCTTGAGTGAAATAGTGTGTTCATCAGTACAATCCCAAGAAATTTGGTCATTCATCTCTTGTTCTTTTTGGCTCAATGGCCGCACTCGGACAGTGACAAATAATTTCTCTTCATGAGATCTTGGACCTCCAGGTGTAGATGAAGGGGTCTTCTCTATTTTTGACAATGGTGTTGCCGGTGTTTTAACCATCATCTTTATTATTTAATCACGAATATCTGCAAATGAGAGTTGCATATTTACAGGAAAATTTATATAATATATATATATATATATTAAGGATTAAAATCTGAGAACCGAACTCAAAAAACAAATAACCAGAATTTGTTACAAGCACTCTAGGTTAGATTCAATGATCATAAAAAAGAATACTTGATTCCCACCGGAAAAGAAAGGGATATTCACTGAAATAGTTCTCACTTCGAGGAGATTATTAAGTTTAATTTACAAAATGCACTGAGGAATTCAAGCTTTGCAAGATCAACCATTAAAAAAAAAGCATTTGTTAAGACAGGAAGAATCTTGGTTTTCACAAGTAAGAATCATCCAGCCCAGGTCACAAGAATATGAGAAGCCCTATCTTTCAAGTCATAATAACAAGATCCAGCTACTCATTCCAAGGATAACAACATATCTTTCTACAGTTCCTGGACTTCAATAATCTCCAATTATAAAATCCGGCCGATATCATGGTAAACCTCACAAGAATTTGTGAAAACAGTAGCGAGTCCTTAACAAATTTGAGAAAAGTCACTTTTCTGGATCATATTAGAAGAAATAAAATCTTAAATAAATCGGAAAATCCAAGATCAATGACTTCTTGGAATTGTATTCCAGTGAAGTGTACTAAATGTATTGTTTCAATGAGCAGTTCTTTCAAGGGTCCGAGAAGTGGTAGCACCCAAAATCTAACAAAATGACCTGAGAGTCTGAGACTATAAATCAACAAAACCATAAAATCCAATCAACATAGATTTTCTTATGTTTAAACCCAAACGATGGATGCGCGTAAATTCCTCCAATATTGCCGGAAATTTTTACCGGGAAATTCAAAATACTGACAGATGCGCCAGAATTCGACCAAATGAGGCTGTGATGACCAGCAAGGTACAAAATCGGAAGAAAAAAAAAAAGAAAAGAAAATGAAGCAAGAACACGAAACAGAAGAGATCATAAATGTAGTAACGAACGCTGGGGGGTGGGAGTTCGGCTATGAATTTCGAATCTTTCTGACTCGCAAACAAAAATGTAACGGCCGGCGTTGGGTTTAACATGTTTCAATTGTGACTGGATCTGCTCCTCACACCTGGCGCCTCACACGCACATCTTACCATGCATTGGGAACATCTCCCATTCTTAACATTTATTATTCACGGGAGATGTTCTCAATGCACGGTGGATGTTCATGTGAGGCGCCCATTAGTGAGGAGCAGATCCCGCCCCGTTTCGATTTCCCTCGCGCACGGCGCCCCACAAGTGCCCCATACGGGAGATGTCCTCAGTACACGGTTGGGATGTGCTGTAGCGCACTTGTGGGGCGCAGATGTGAAGTCCACACTTGAGTCAGTTGTGAAAGCAATATGTTCAGATAACCGGATCGAAATGAACCGGGGGGATGTTCATGCATTAGAGATTGAACCGGAGTCGAATTGGAGGTCCAACCATACTGATATGTATGTACATAATATAATATATAAATATGCACAATTATATCATATATTCATAATAATATTAAGTATATACATATACTCAATTATATAATTATATTATGTTATAAGCCTATAACATTTTTTATTTTAATTTCAATTCTTTTATATTAAAATTCAGATTTGAGGCCCAAAAAGGGTTTTTTGTCAAAAAAATGTGGGGCAAGGTGCCTTAGGAATTGGGATCATGTGGATCTTGAAGACCCAAAATAAAAAAATATATATATATAAAAGAAAAACTAAGGGTTTTTTTCTTTTTAAGATAATGTTTCGTTGATAATTATGGTGAATGAATAGCATCATAGTTGGCATCGATGAGAGTTTTAAGACACTATGGCATTATACGAGGGAACACATAAGAAAACCTAGTACTCTGATCTCTACGGCAATGGGGTGGGTTCGAGGAGGGTTTTGTAAATTCTAGACCTTATTTGTCTTTCTAAACCTTTCAACCCGTACTTTCCCCAAAAACACATAATGGGTTGGCTTTTTAGAATCTAAACCTTACCCACACATGAAAACGCAAAACCCTCTCTGACGCTACCCTCCCCACATTCAAGGATAGGACATGTTGGATTTAGAACCCGTATCTAATTTTCTATTATTTATTGTCATATACAAGCAATAAATAATAAAATAACACAAGTAAACAATAAAGTTCCCAATTAATTGATTAAGACATATAGAAAGCACATGAACTATCAATTATCTTTCACATAAAATTCAAAAATATTACTAAATTCAACACTTGGTACATAAAGTTTATATGCTTTCCTATAATATGCGGTCAGATCTAGCCTAATACTGTACCTTACTCATACCCGTATGGGTTATAGAATATATAATCCTAAAACCTGTCCCCACCTCAAAACCCATCATTCAAGCAAAAGGAAAAGAAAAAAAAAACGCCCCATCGGGTAGGGTAGGAGCGGGTACCCACTGGGTAGGGTAGAAATTGCCATCCCCTACTTGTCCAATGAGTGAGCCAGTTGGCTAGCGCTTCTACTAATGTAGTTGAAGGATTTGGATATCCATTTCAAAGACGACATGTGGACAATGTCAAGTATGGTGTTTCCTTATGGATGGTGGATGATAATACTCAAAGCATCCCACTCTGCAGATAGGATTAGTTGAACAAAATAACTATTCAATAGGTTGTGGAATCAGTAATAACCCTCCACATTAGTCATAAAAATACATAGGAGCTATAGCCATTCAACCTTTTAGAGAGCCACGTGTATTTTGCCATTGACATGGAGCATTATCAAATTAGCATTGGTTTCATAGCTTGTTATGTAACTAAAATGTTCAGCTAATCCAAACTCCCCAACTCCACCACCGCATGGGTCACACTTAATTTGGAGACAACTTCACATCATCTAGCTTCTGCATCTTCCACCGAGGAATACAAATCAGGGGCTTCTTAAACAATCTTTAAGACGATATGTGGACAATGTCAAAGTTGGTGTTTCCTTGTAGATGTTAGATTGGATTTGGGTGAAAACATTCAAAGCATCCGATTCTGGAGAGGAACGGGATCTGCTCCTCACACGGGGGCGCCTCACATGCACATCCACTGTGTATTGGGAACATCTCCCATGAATAATAATTCATAAATACGTGAGATGTTCCCAATGCATGGTATGATGTGCATGTGAGGCGCCCTGTGTGAGGAGCAGATCCAGTCTCCTCTGGAGATAGGATTAGCTAGACACAATAACTGTTTAGAAGGTTGTGGAACTAGTAATAGCACTCCACATTAGTCATAAAAATACATACGACCTATAATCATTCAACATTTTAGTGTGGGCCATGTGTATTTTGTCATTGGAGTGGAACATTATCAAATTATCATTGGTTTCATAGCATGTTACATAGCTAAAGTGTTCAGCTAATCCAAATTTCCCAACTCCACCACCACATGGGTCACATTTAGAGACAACCAATACAGATATATCTAGCCTCTTCATCTTCCACTAGGAACACAAATTAGGGGTTTCTTAAACCACCAATATGAAACGTTGGTGACTTATGATAATACAAACCTACAAACCAAACCATATGAAAATGGTGGAAAGTTAAAATTAGCATCACAGTGTTGTGCTCGATAGCCTTACCTAACATGGGTGAATTAGGTATAGCTTAGAAATGTTAAATAAAATCTGAACTCTTTGACTATTAACAAATCAAGCTCAAACCCGGTCCCCTAAAACTGAATCTAAACCTTTTGACACTAGGGATCAAGATGCATAAGAATAATAGGCTTAATTTAGTTCAACAATTAATCAAGATGTCACTCAATGATTAACAGGATTTTTAAACAAGAGATCAGCAACTATACAGACAAATAAACAGTATGAGCAGGAGCTGCAATGGTTACCAACCAACAAATAATAACAGCAATAACATTGATTGCTAACAATATAATATAAGTTGAAAAAAATAGACTAGATAAATATTGCAAGCTGCTATTTGGTTGGTGGTTCTAAAGTAAAAAAATATAAATGTTGAAAGTAACTAGACTATAGGAGTTAAATGATCAATTGAAAATAAATAAATGATAAAAGTAAATTGTAGTATATATAATAACCTGCTAGAGAGAGGACCATCCACTAATAGTAGCATAGATAATAATAATATATTACATGATGATAGTTGAGATGATGATCAACTATCCAAAATAATCAACTTGAGATTCAAGTAGTCATTAGTTGCTACCGGAATATCAATGATAGATCTAGCTATAAAAAATGTAAATAAAGTTGAATAATAAATGAACAATAAAAATAAGCAATTATAAAAAGGTAAATCAACTAGGTTAAATGGTTACCAACTGGGAGATGTTGGTAAAATGAAACCCAAACTGCAGAACCAGATAGTTAGTGTAATTAGTAAAGCTAGTAGGGTTAGCAGCTCAATAACTACACTAATTAAATGGTCATATATCTTGTAGATCCAAACAAAGAAAAACAAATAAACATAATACCTGCAGGATCTCAAGAACTCAAGTTGTTGCAGTTATGGGATTAAGTTAACAGATAAAGATAAGCCACAACACTTGAAGAAAAGAAGTACAACACACAAGGGGCACATGATTTTTTATAGATGATTGACCAATGGTACCTATATCCTTTACCTCATATCACCACCGAGGATTTCTATTAACCAAACCAACTTGATTTCCCATACACCAATAAAATATTTATGCTAACAAGACTTCATAGGTGTCTGCAACACCTTGATCGTTTGGACTTCATGGATGCCAATCCAACATGAATTAACAAGACTTTTGGGTGCCTATAAGATTTTGTAGTTGGGCTTCAAAAAGATGCCAAGAAGACCTTAATAGTATTCAGAAGCTTTTAATAACTATGTGCTTAATAATATTTCTTTATTTTTTTAGCACATGAACAAGTTTACAAGCAAGATAAGCCTCTAGATAAGCAAATATAGCAATACAAGCACAAGCTATTAAGTTGTTAGAGTTCTCAATATATTCTCAACTCAATAAAGTAGAGACCCCCAATAAATGGAAGATATTCTACAAGCTCAAAAGATCCCCAACTTTGTTCAACATTGGCACTATTGAAACTCAATGATCCATAAAACAAAAATGGCTCTAGCATATTTACTCTCTCTAAAAAACAACTATGTACAATGTGCATAATGGATGCACAAGTTGTTTTTTCACATGTCTTGGTTTAATCTTTTTTTTTTTTTTTGGGGGGGGGGGGGGGGGTTTGAATCAAGTAACCGTTTTCTATTTATAGGGGAGTCGAGAGCAAGTAACTGTTTTCTAACCATTGAAAGGATTTGTCGTTTTCCTTTATAAACGATTCAAATTTCTCCCAACATGTAAGAAAGTTTTCCATACAAGGCAAATATATTAGAGCCTTCAAATGACCTAATATCTTTAATGTAATTAAATATTAATGTTGCTAGTCAACTAGTTGATGAAGTGATGAATATTTTTTTGGGTTTCTGGAGGATAAGGGCAATTTTTTGCCATGAATATCAATAAAAGATAATGTTTTTATAAAATAGCCAAAATAAGATTTTTTTTTTTTAAATATCAAGGAAGGGCAATGGCACTACTACTAGAAACCCTATATAACCCCTGTTAACTAGAGTCTCAAAGAAGAAAAAAAATAAATTAAAATAACCAATTTGCTTCTCCTCGTTCCTCCCTCCCCCGTCTGTCTCCCTCTACTGCCGAAACAGATATCAACCCGGCCAATCGCCGAGGAAAGGAAGAACACCGCCAATGGTGACGTCAGAGAGAGACCCTACTTCCCAGTTAGTGTTGCCGCCGGGCTTCCGGTTTTATCAGACGGATGAGGAGTTATTGGGCCTGACTTATCTTTTACCTTTTCAACAGCGTCCATCTATCTCAATAAACCCAATATCTATTTTCACCTCTTAGCACCGTTTTGATGCGTTCCAGACCCTTTACATTCAATCAATTCATCAGGTTTTTGTAAATTGAAGTTTTATCACTTTTCCAAAAGTTTAATTGCATATTTGGAATACTTGACTTCCTTAAGTACCGTAATATTAGTTTTACTTTTACAGAAAAAAAAAAAACACACTTTCATGTTCCTATTTCGTGCCATTAAGGTGATGCTTGGAGTTGCGGTATTGCGCGTCCATTGTATTTTTTCATTGGAAATCATGAAAAAAAAATGTTGAAGGCACGAAAGGCAATGAAATAATAATCTCTTTCTTCACTCGGCCAGTTTGGTTTGGCTCTTGCTTGGCTATTAGAATGGATTATTCCATTTACCAAAATCTTGATGGATGACTTTCTTTCTAGTGGGATCAGATCCAGTGTATTTGGATGAATGCAGGGCAGAGGAAGATGATGAACAGTGCCATTGCCCATTCTTGATATATTTTTTTAAAGTTACCTTGTTTTAGTTATTTTATAAAAATATTATCTTTTATTAATATTCAGGGCAAAAAGTTGCCCTTATCTGCTGGTTGACTAGTCCCCTCAAATAGTACATATTTTGTGCCTCATCTGACATAATTAGCCGACTATATTTAACAATGATATCATTCATGTCACAATTAGTCAATTGTGATATTTGGGAGTAGACAACTATGTCTCACTGTTAGGCTAAACTTTCCTATCAAAACAACACGATACTTAGAAACCTTAGAAATTCTTATCCAAATGCTTGGGATCTCTTATAGTCCATTGTCAAATGAAAACTTAAGAACTAAACCCATTTTAATTGGTGGTTTCTAAGGTTGATTATATTAAGTTCAGCCTTGTAGAGTATCTAGACAGTACATAATGCAGCTAATTACATCAATACCCTAAAATATAAATACAATTTGGGAACAACATGACATAGTCTTCTCATCGATAAGATGTTGTAGCATAGTCCTTTGAGCAACTTCATAAACATTAAAGTTCTTATGTAGCTTTATGCTTGAATTTCTCAAATCTTCCTTAGCTAGAAAGATGTGGCGATGGTGTGGAGATCCTTGAAGCACAGACAACCAACTCAATAAAACTTCCATTCTTCTTCTTTGGTAGCATTCTAACTTCAATACACTGCTGATCTCTTGGCTGCTAAAGCATTGGAACAACAATATCAAAGAAAATTGCAAATTTTTTGAAGAACCTTTAAACTCTAATTTTTCTTTCTTCCATACCATTGACTCCAGAGATGACTTTAGAGCTTCATTTAATGTGATAAATGGAATTTATTATGTAGATTTCACTTTTGTGATGGCTCCAAATAATGTTGTCTTGTTTCAATTGAGCACTTGGAGGGATTGCCACTATGGCTATGGCTTTCAACTCAGGGAAAAAAAAATAGCTCGTTCAAATGGTTGGTATTTTACATGCCCTTAACCCAGATGATTTAGGGGGTGTTTCACAATATGGATGCTTTTGTTTTTTAAACAAAAACAGCTACAATGTCAACAAAAGCAATACAATTTTGCCAATGTGGCAATTGCTTTTATTTTCAAAAACAAAATCAACCATGTTTGTTTAATGCTCTTGTGTTGATCACTAGCTTTATAGGTGATATGTTCTCCTTCTTCCTTGACCCTATATGATTAAAGGCTCATTTATATGCATTAAATGTGTGTGTGTGTGTGAGAGAGAGAGAGCATATCAAATTCATGAATCACGTCTTATCCCATAACCCCTAATCTCTCTCTCTTTAGGACATAACCCAAACAAAAGCATGTCCATTGCCAAATAAACAAATAAATAACTAAAAGCATGCCCATTTACCCCCAATGAGTTAAGATGTGTTTTATAGCTTTCTTTAAAGAATGACATCATACTTTGATAGAAATGCCCATGCTTTTTACCTAAAACCCTAGCACCATCTCACATTAGTGCATCTATTTATTATGTCATTGGTTCCATGGGCATTTAGATATGGGTATGTTTCTCAGATAAATGTTTAATTGAAAAATATTACTTTAAATGTTTATTGTTTTGGTTATTCGGTTGGGCATTTAAAGTAACACCTCATAAAGTTATTTTATACTTCAAATTACAATGTTTCAAGTAAGCATTTCATTTTAATAAATGATGGAGCAGAGAAACCAGATTTTGAATTTTCCCCCAATGCCTCATGCACATAAGTCCAAACGTTTATGTTTTTTAATGTTTATTTGATAAATGTTGAAATCAAACTATGGTTTCATGTACAATAAATGCTAACACCTAAGTGGCGCTGATGTGACATTGTTTTTCCAATAAATGCTCACAAAACCAAACATAACCTTAGTTTCTCTTTACTTAAATGGAGCCAATGCTATTACCAAATCACTTTTCATAATCTCATTTTATCTCTTATATAGGAAAAAAGCATAAATTTTTAGGGGTAAATATGTAAATAATCAATTTTCAAATATTATTACATTCGGATAATCAAAATGTTCAATAACATTTGAAGGGTAAAACAGCTAAACTTTAGGTTACACTCAAATCTTGTTTACTTTTCCAAACATCAGAGTTTAATTTTGTGTTTTACCAAACGCAACCTATGCAAAAGCCGAGGTTATTGTTTAGGATTTATCAGAAAAAACAGGGGAGGTTTATAGGATTGTCAGAAAACTCAGGGAGGGTTTTTAACTTTTTATCCCTCACGCATATATAGTATGTGTTTGGTACCGTTTATGTTTATTGAATAAACGTTTGTATTTTATTTGTTGGTAAAACCGAAAAATGCAATAATTGCAACCGTTTATGACAATTAGGCGCCACTTCAACATAACAGTGAATAAACGCCTGACCGTTTGTGGAAGCTTCAAAAAATAATTTCTACAAAGGGCTGGCATGCACATAAACCAAAGTTCACTTTCCATATTTTCGATGTATGCAGAAAAGCAAGAGAGAAAAAATGCTGTGATGATGTTTATTGACACCATCAATAAACGTTTAATGAATAAACCTAAAGGGTACCAAACATCACCTATAAGAGGTTTTCCGAGTAAGTTGAACGACCAAACCCTAACCAGCCGGCCAACAGGCCATTTATAAACGGCTTTGTGGCCTTGTGGGGTGGGTTGGGGAAAAAAAAATTCCACAAATTCCCGTCATTTTGTTCGAAGTTCTAAAACCCTATGTGACATTCGACGTCTTCTGTTCTGTGGACTTCACTTGCGACAGTTCAATGAACCCTGTAAGAGAGGGTGGAGAGAACATGACGATATCCAAAACTAAGAAGCATGAGAACCCTGAAGACGTAGAGCTTTTGAAATCGGATGTAGCGTTCTTTGCTTCCTCAATAGGTCTATCTTCTGCAGTTTCGTCTTCTCTCCCAAAATTTGATTTTGACGACTCGGATTTTCGAAAAACTGGCCCCCTGAAACCTAAAGAAACAGAGAAGACTCCAAAAAACAAACCTACACATGGGGATAACAAGAAAAAGGAAACGAAAGTGGCCGAGGAAAAGAAGGGGAAAAATGGTGAACGAGAAAAGACAAGGCATCCTCCCTTATCACTTGACCATTATAAACCATTTGATCGCTGGAAGCATCTTCCTAAGCTGCCGTTGATGAAGGCAAGTTCTTTGGGGGTTTGGCACGTGGATGCGGATGAATTGGAAGCCAAGGTAATCGGAAATGAAAGGAAGAGAATTGAGGTAAAGAACGCGGAAGAGCTGAAGAATTTGGTTGCAAAGAAGAAGGAACTTGGGGAAAGGTTGTTGGCACAATATACACAGGATTTCGAGACGTCGAGAGGACAGAGTGGGGATATAAAAATGCTCATGGCGACGCAAAGATCGGGAACAGCAATTGACAAGGTCTCTGCTTTTTCAGTATTGGTAGGAGAAAATCCAATTGCAAACATGAGATCACTTGATGCCCTTCTAGGTAAGATTTGTTTCTTGAGAAGCAAAGGTTCTATATTCTCTTTGGTTCCACAATTCCAACTTTTATGATAATGTAATGTGGTTTTAGAGGACACGGGGAAGGCACAGGAGAAACTGGTTTCGGGCAGTGAGAAAAGTGTTATTAGTTCATTCACAAACTAGTTACTGGCTCATTCATTGTCAGAAGATATGGTCTGGAATAAGGTAGAATGACTATGATTATCTTGTCATTCTGACTTCACTTCTAAACTAAGAGTATATATTTGCTTCAATTACATCGAAGGAAAAAAAAGAAAGAAAAGAAGCTAGTAATTAGTATCTTGAATTTAATGTGAGGTGGGGAGAAACAAATTTTAGTAAGGTTAAAGCTAAGCTACATATGCTAGGTTTTTGCTGATGCTAGTTTTTTTTTTTCCTTTTAATATGTTGCAAGCTTCTGAAGTTTTTTTCCTCCTTTTTAATCTGGAACTCATGAGGTATGAAAAATGCATTTGATACTACGACTTCAACTAATTTGACCAGAAAAGTAATTTATATTAGTTTATAGAAAACATATTGTTGTGAGTGCTTTTTGTTTACACCCCAATGTTCATATTTACTGGTCAAATAATAGCAACACATTTGCCTTTTAATCCTTTGTCATATCAACCTCTATTTGTATAATGGTTTGCTTACGAAATGGCCTTGACCTTATAAATGCAGCAATGGTGACTTCAAGGGTGGGGAAGCGCCATGCATTTTCTGGATTTGAGGCTTTAAAGGAGTTGTTCTTGTCGAGGTCTGCATTTTTCTTTCTGTTTTGTGGACTGCTTTTTCCTTCGTGTGCTATGCTAATTTTTGCAATCTGTTTTAGACTATTCTTTGCAGCTCTTTAGCCTCATTGTGGAACTCTAGAATGACAAGAACCATGTGTTTATCTTTGAGGAATACAAATATGATTCTATTATTGTTTTACATATCTATGCAATATACCCATAGTTTGTGGTTATAAAAAGTTGATGTCAAAGACATCTTTATTATACAATGGACCTTGGGGTTTGATTTCTTTTATTAGTCTAAGAGATTGGTGAGGCACCTTAGACACTCCAAATCTGATGATTACTATTAGTGGGATCCATAACTGGATCCCCAATAGGAATACACCTTCAAGTATGTAAGCACAGATTGCTGCATACATACAATGCATGGCCTGTATTTACATGCTTGAAGGTGCATTCTTGTTGGAGGATCTAGCAGTGGATCCTGCTAATAGGTAGCCAGCATATTCCTATGCTGTTGCAATGATGAACTTGAAAATAATATAGTTATGAATACATGAGTGTAAAAAATGAAACAAAAACAAGATAGTATTTAGTTTTCAACAGTGTTTACCTGGGACATGGCAAGTTTTTGGGTGTTTAGCATGTTATTCGGAAAAATTAATAGCACTGAGACAATAAATAGGAAAACCTTAGAAAATCAAAGTGTATTGTCTAGTGCCAAGTCTCAGCATGGGTGTCCAAGTCCTATCTTAGCTACTTGCTTGGAATGTTGGAAAGCTAGATGCTTTCTATTCGTACACTGCGTGTGCACTCTATCTCATCATCTACAGTTTGAGGCAAGCACCTTGATGATATTGCTGAGCATTCATCTAAAGGCTTTGGGGTTTTCCTTGTGTTAGGTGCTAGATTAAGGTCATTAGGTAGTATTCAGATAAAATTTATGTTTCAAGTAATTGCTTGAGTTATATGTTTTCATGCTTTCTGGTAGGAGGTGACAATTGTTCTTATGTCAAGATGGAAAGGTTTTCACTGTTTTCCACATGCTTTTCTCTCGTCTAAGAAGCTATGCTCTTCTTGTTGTTCATTTAAAGAGTTCTGTCTGAGTTCATTCTTGTTCTTCTTTATGCCTGTTCTTATGCCCCTGGTACAAGTTAAGTGCTTTACTTGGACAGCAATGTGCTTCTCAGGATTTATTATTTGATTACCTGCTTTTCTTTTCAGTCTATTACCTGATCGTAAGCTGAAAAACCTTCTTCAGCACCCGCTGAACCATCTTCCTGAATCAAAAGATGGCTACTCTCTTTTACTTTTCTGGTATTGGGAGGAATGCTTAAAGCAGAGGTATGTTGTAACTAAGGCTCAGTTTGGAAGGAGTACAAATACAAATATATAGAGTGCAAAGCCTTGCATTTTGTATTATTTTATATGTATTTGCACTCTACATATTTGTATTTGTAGTCCTTCCAAACTGATCCTAACTAACTATTTGCATGACAATTTTTGTTTCCTTTGAAACAATATATGCTAATATGCATGAGCTTCATTATTTCTGCACCAATGTTTTAAAACTCAAATCCGACATTGGACCTGAAAGCTGACTGGGCCACTGATTCAATAGGGTTGTTCAGCCATCCAGCCCCGTTGGGCCATTCAAAATGTGGAAATTAGAAATCTCTTTGGTTACTGCTTTGACCACCCTGTCTTTTTTGGGTTTCAAAACATTGGCTTATAAAGAATCCTTAATTTTGCTATGTGTGCTCATGACAACTAATTGGCCTTTTAATGGTGACTTGCAAATCAATAATATATTGAAAATTCTGGATTTAGATTCTATTCTGTGAATGAATAGTCAGTGCAAAAACATGAATTTCTAGGATTTTATACCATAACTGTATGTGCATGGCAAATTCATTGTAGAAGAGTTTAAAGAAGATACAAGTTTTGTTACTCTTTTTCAAGATGCCCTGATGTACATTGTTCTTCTCTTTCTTTTGACAATACATGAATATTATTATTATTATTATTATCATTATTATTATTTGATCAGTAACGAGAATTCATTATCTTCAATTTAGGTTACATTGCAAACATTACATTTTAATCTATGGGAAACATTCCCTCCTTCATTAGAAACACCATCCAGATTACATATGTGTTTGGTTCCGTGGGCTTTTATTGATGAGATGTTTATCAGATAAACGTTTATTTGAAAAATGCTACTTTAAACATTTATTGATTTTGTTGTTTGGTTGGGTGTTTTATTGGTGTTTCAAGTAACACCCCATAAAGTTACTTTTCACCTCATCTTAAAGTGCATCACGTAAGCATTTTGTTTCAATAAATGCCCATGCATTGGGGGAAACAAGAATTTGAAGTTTCCCCAATGCCTCATGCACATAAATCAAAGCATTTCTGTTTTTCAGTGTTTATTTGATAAACTTGTCAGCAACTGAGTTTAAGCCTGTTGTGATCCACCTGATCCAAAGCTGAGATATACACTAGGGTTTCTCTCATCTCATTTGCAAGTTTCCAAGAACCACTTTCGACATTTTACCTCTAGTTGATTGTATTAACCAAATCACCTTCAATGGCTAATGAAGTGAAGTGCCACTGCCTTACCTTGCCTAGAATGGGAGTTGGAGGGGTGGGGTATGAGGGGAGGACCCAATGATATATGGTGGGTGCATTCTAAGATCATCTGAGATACCTATGGGATTGTTTGAAAGGATGAGTATCCCAATTTTAAACTGTCTTTTGTAAATAAGTCAGCACTGATGTACTCCACTGTACAATGTACACAGAAGTAACATATGATATATTGCTTTTTTTCCTTTGTAAATACAACCTTTGCCCTATTAGGAGACAAACTATACATCTAATGCTTCAAAGCACTCTAAACCTGGTTGTAAGTTGGATCTAGTGGTTTCAACAGTATGCAGGAAGAATTGATTATTTAAATGTTGAACTTATCCTAAAATATTCTTTTGTTCATTGATTGTTCCTATTAAATTCTGTGATAAGTATCTAGATCATGCTCATCTGGACTAGAGTTTTTGGTGTACTGCAAGGGTCAAAGTATCGGTGTCGGATATCGTATCGGACAGTTTGGATACGGATACGCTTTGGAAACGCATGGATACGGACGAAAGATAGGAAAACACATGGATACATTATGAAAATGATACAAATTTCATAAATACATCAATTACAATAATTTTAAAAGTCAAAATAACCACAAATAAAGCATAAATACATAAAGAAATATATTACTAATATAACAAGATACATATTTTATAATTTTGTTGATAATCCAACAATCAAGAGTCCAATACTCATGTTGTATAGTTTTTACAAAGTAAAACATTCACAAAACCATTATTATGTTAAATTCCATAAGTCCAAAATACAAAACATATGCAATTATTATATTTTAATTACTATAACAATTATTTTATATTTTTACTTTTCAACATTAACAAAAAAGTCAATTAAATATTCAATTTTGAAATGTTTGATAATATCAAAATTACTATCATATGAAATTTATAATTTTTATAAGATACATATATTATTATCATATTTTTACTTTTAATCCTAACTAAAAGTATATCAAAATTATTAAAATTTCTAAGATACATATCATATGAAATTTATAATTTTTAATTATTAAAGTAACAATTCCATAATTAACATTTTTATTTCCTATAGTTTTTTTTTCTGAAATAACAAATCATTTTTTTATATAAATTTAAATTAGTGGATTTGATAAATTCAATTTACTATTATATTTTTGAATATTTTGTAAACATTTTTTTATTTTGTAAATAATAAATATGTTATTTTTAGTCTAAATTAAAATATCAATGAATAATTTATAAACAAATATATAGAATTTGAAGATACATATAATGTACAAATTTATGAAATTTAAGTACTAGAATAATCTATATATATACTTATTACGGAATGGGTCTTTTCTCCTTTCTGCAAATGGAATCTACTCGTGCGAGTAGATCCAAAGTCACACGTGAAAACAGTGCAATCATGTGTTCTTGCTTTCGTGTGACACGTATCTATTATTAATATTTTTATTTGTATAAATTTATTGAAAGTAAAAAACAATTTTTGATATAAATGTAAATTTGGTAGATTGTTTACTTTGTTAATGTTTATAAAGTAGTAATTTTTAATATTATTTATTTATTTTAAGTTTGGGTTCATGCTAATGATAAAGTTAATAAAATTTATTTTAGTTTAACAAGTATCACAAATTGAATGTTGGCATAGTGGCTTAGAGTCCTAGCGCATAGTGGCATGTGTGCACTGAGACTTGAGTTCGAATCCTCGTAGCGGCGCTTTTTAGACAAGATAATAAATGTGCGCGTGTATCAGCGTGTGTCGAATCGTATCGGTTTGTATCGGCCGATATGGTGCTATACACACCGATACACAGATACGGTGTCGATATGCACGACTGGACGTGTATCGTACCAGTTGTAGCGTATCTCATATCCGCTCTTATGGATACTGATATGATACGCCCCGTATCGGGTATATCGTGTCGATATTTTAATCCTTGGTGTACTGTTTGAGCATGACTTGAATCCATTTCATTGGATGTTCTTTTTTTTTTTTTGGTTTCATTGGCATTGTAAATGCATGGTAACCTTTGCAGGTATGAGCGGTTCATTTTTGCACTTGAGGAGGCATCAAGAGATACATTACCTCCTCTCAAGAATAGGGCTTTGAAGGTTAGCGTGCTCTTTTATTTATCTTGTTTTCTATGCCAAACAAATTTATCCATGAGCCATGTATATTTGTATAATGTGCTTCAATTTTGTTTCTAATATTTGATTTGCTGTTTATTCTCAGTTATTTACTTTTACTCATTTTTCAAACCACTGTTTTCTAGATCAACTTGGTCTTTTTTTTATTAGAAATTGGTGCCAACTGCCAACTATTACTTGGTTGCTGTGTTTAAATGGTGATACCATGAATGAAAAGTATGCAAGATTATTATTTTTTTGATCAGCAGAAGAAATTTTATTAGTGAGATTCGAAGATTACAATCAGGTTGATTAAGATACATCCCGTAAGAACAAGATTTCACAGAAGCGCCCAGAACAGCTTCTGTCTTGATGCCCCTTGTTTCGCTAGAGTGTCTGCCATTCAATTTCTGTTCTTCTCACCCAATTGAAAGAGACATTCAGTTCCCTTTTTAAATGCTCAATCTCCCTATATGTTTGCTGAAAAGCCCAAGGGATTTGGACATTTGCTTTTGCCCAAGAAATAACCACCTGGGAATATTATGCTGGATTAGTATCAAAACTCTGCTATCTTAAATCTCTCTTTAATTTCTTGATCATTAGTCTCTACTTAAAAATCTTGGAAGAGTCCCTGCAGACAATAGATTGTATGATGCTATTGTTATTATTGGCTTGAAATAATGATGTATTGATTCACCTGATGCAAATTTACAATTGCACCATGGATGTGCCCTGAAGTAAATTGTTAGAACAGTTCATCTCAGAGTGCATGCTGGATCACATTTTCTGTTACTGGTGTTTGATATTGGGCTTTATTGTTTAATCTTTTTATTCAAATAAGGCCATTACCCAATGTTTGTCCTAGCTATCTGGGGCCTTGGGAGGGGTTGACTGGATAGAGTCCTAGCTATCTGGGGCCATTTTGCACAAAATGGCCGCTCTCAGACTCAAACCCACATTCTTACACTTGATAGCCTGAGATTTTACCATTATACCAAGTAATGTGGGTCATTATAGGACGCAGCAGTTTTACAGGGAGCACAGATTACTAGAGAGCTGAACTTTGAGAGATTGCTAATTGAAGGTGACTCTAATCTGGTAACCGGTGGCTGAAGGAACTGGAGACAGTAGCTTGGTCCTATAGGGTATCTATGAGAAGATTCAAGTGGGATGGCAGACTTTCTAGCTAAGCAAGGGGCGCATAAGGATCAATTATTTTGGTCTCTATTTTAATTCTGCTTTGTTTTTGAGGCTGCATCTCGTGCCTCAATGTGGGAAGTCTTCATTGTGTAACTCTGTTGATTGGCCATTAATAAAATGCTTATTATTATTTATCAAACAAAAATGTGGGTCATTATTTGATAAACTACAGAGGTTAGTCAGGCAAATCCATTAGAGTTGGCATCTTCAGAATTCAGAATTTATTTTTATTTCTTGTATAATTTGATAGTTTGATCAATATTTTACTGTTTAAAAAAATCGGTAGTTTGATAATGTGTTTTTAATGGTGTTAACTGGGATTAGAAAGCAGCTTGAGAGGAGTTGGTAAATCTTGCAAAATGAGAATCTATTTTCCATTTAAATAAGTATTATGTGTGGCATCAATATTTCAGCATGCTATGTGCCCTGCTTCTTACTTTTTTGTCTGGTCAAGTGGAAAAGATCTAAGGTATTTTTGTAACTTGGTTTCTCTTCATTGGTCAAGCTGAAGACTATATTCTCTAGACTAAAGTAGTTATCATTGTCTAGGAAATGACTATATTCATGGGACTATTCTTATGTTGTACGGAATTTCTTTGCAGATTATGTATTCCCTGCTAAGAAGTAAATCAGAGCAAGAACGCAGATTGCTCTCTGCCCTTGTCAATAAGGTATGTCTCATTGAATTTCTCTCTAGATGAAGTGCTATTTCTGTAACTATTTTGTTTATGAACATTATGGTGAGATGGAATATATTGAGCCTTCTGTGTGTGCTTTCTTCTTTTGCATGCTGTCTATAAGAAACTGATATAATTCCAGTGTTACGTACTGTTTCTCAATTAGATTTTTGATTATGAACCTTTTCTAATCTTTTCAATTACTTTCAGCTGGGGGATCCTGAAAATAAAGGGGCATCTGGTGCTGATTTTCACCTGTCAAACCTTTTATCTGAACATCCAAATATGAAGGTGGAGTTATCTAGTCTCATCATTGTTTTCAATGGTTTTTTGAACCTGTTGGAGATGTGTGTGGAAGTATGCAGCATTATAGTTGTATTAACTGCTTTTTAAATTGTTTTTTATCTGTTGAAATCACATAAAAAGCTGGAAATACATAGTTCCATCTAACTTTCAGATGTGGTCTTATGTCTAGAATTCTTGAATGGGATTTGTGGAACTCTTTAGGGTTTGACAAATTTGAAAGTACTTACCTTTAACTTTTTCCATGTATCAGTTGAAATATTGGGTGACCTTTTCTCTCATAAAGTGAGGAATGGAGCTTTGGTCTATTATCTTAAACTAATTTTCTTCTCTTCTATCTTCACTTAAGCTCACTGTATGCATCAAGCTTATTATTCATTGATGGTGGGGCCATAAGAAATGGCAATGGAATGGACATTTATTAGGTATTTTTTTTGCGTAGGCAATAGAACAAACTTCAAATGGTGTATGGATGTTATTATTTTGTCAAGGGGTGCAGTGAAGTGCTATTTTGGTCTGTGTAGTGAAATGAAACTTCTATTTAAATAAAGGCTGCATAAGATTTTTGATGAGATTACTCTTTGAAACCTGGTGCTATGTTGTTTCTAGAGGCAAAGAAGGTAGTTCTACTGGATGCAAGCAATCCAGAGAAGTGGAAGTGTGAATGTTCTTCCAGGGCCATTATATCTTTAAATACGCGTGCTTGGGTAGTGTAGTAGCAGATGGAAACTGGTCTTGTTAAATAATGGACATGCTTGGATGGTAGTTGGTAGCATTGGGGCTTGAGGTGGATGCTGGAGAACTGACAGACTATATAATATGTATAGCTTGCGTGAGTTATTTTATTTGCTCTAAGTCATCAGCATTGGCAGGGGGCCGGGAACCTCATGCACTGGGCTACCCTTTTTTTGAGTCGTCAGCATGTTCATTATCCAATTTATGCACTCTTAGAATTTGATGTTTAGCGATAAGATTTTCTTACTTGCAGGGAGAAGTCTGAAAACATCCGCCTTTCAAAATATGCTAGTGTGAGGAAACCAGTTTTATTTTGACACACACAGTTATTGGAATCCAATATGTGGAATCCAATATGTGTCTGGGTGTGACTTTGCAAGACGAGAATACATGGATTAGGGCCTATATATTTTGAACTCTAACATTGTATGCTTATTGATTAAGGCCTAAAATTTCATCTAATGATAAAGATCTAAATGTTCATTTTTTATTAAGTTCTATATGAAATATGGTTTTGAATCATATATATTGACTGTTCATTTATTTATTTATTTTGATAAGAAACAGAAACCATAGATTCGTTTAAAAAAGGTGAGCACCAACTATACAAAATGTTGTAACTGAGATTTCTGCTTGTGGTTAACTGAGGCTAGTGACTTTCTTGTAGCTATACATATTAATTTCTTCATAATCAATAAAAAAGTTTCACAGTTATCGATAAAAAAGTTGTGACCCTAAAACAGAAACAGAATGAACTTGACTACTCTCCTCTTCTCATTTATGTTAACTGTTCATTATGTCAATAAGCAAGAAGAAAAAAGGAAAACAATATGTAGAATTGTAGAAATGCCCCTCAAAAAGCAATGTAGTGTTGGAATCTCTTGAAGCTTCTAAGTTAAGAATTTAGTTTATGCTGGATTAGGAACAGTCTATTAAGCTACTCCAATCACTGCTTATAAAGAATTCTTGTTGGGCCATTTGTATAGGCCCAGCTATGTGGGCAGTTTAAAATATTTAATTTGCGCCTGCAGACCATTTAATTGGGCAGCAAGCCCTAAACTAATTTAAACAAGGTATCAATCTTGGTTTTTTAAGTGATCCACTTTGTGAGCCTTTTAGGAAAGTTAAGCCTCTCTTTAGGTGGGTTGACGCATCCCTAAGGGTGATGGGGTGGGGTAGTTAGCTAATCACCTTTGTTTCTATAAAAGTCCCTCTCCTACAGGGAGAAGAGGTTAATGCTAAATTGTAGCGAAATTTCCGCAGATCAAGAACAAGATGAGGAGCACAATCAAAGGAGAAACCTTAGTCGAAGTTAATTAAGATAGGGGTGAAGATGATCTTTCTTATCTTGACTGCTATATCTATATACCCTCCTCCAAGAGAAGTAAGGTTTTATTTCTACTTTTCTCCCAACCCCAGATCTATCTGAGGAACCTGTCAACATATTAGCACTCCTAGGCACCCAATTGAATGAGGAGCTCAAAGAATCACCCAGAGAGTGAGCCATACCCATGGCCTGAATTTCCAAGGTATCTGATCTTGTGCCTTCATCCATAGGATAATATGTTGACAATTACCCTTCAATTCATTCATAGGGTTTATTTCTACTTTGTTCTATAAGTAAAAAGCTCATTGAAATTTTATTGAATTCAATAACGATAAGCAACTGTTACAAGCATCCCAGAGAGAGGTGCGAGCTGCAGCCTCACTCTAAAAGAAAAAAAACAGCACAAAACTAATTACCCCTTGCTTAGATAAAGAATCAGCCACTGCATTGGCCTCCCTCCCCACCCATTGTATAAACAGATTCATATATGTTGTGTTAACCATTTGAACTTCTTCATTTCATCTCTATAACACCATATCACTGAATCTGGATGTTTTAGCCCTCTCCACAGATTCTTATGTTGTGTTATTTCTACTTTCTTCAAGCTCTATACAAAGAAATTTACTCTCATTTGGGGGGAGAAAGCCATCTACAGCCTTGTTCATGATACTTGACTAATTATTGGCTCCCTACACAATATTTATTTGCAAATTCTAACAAAATCTTAACTTTATTTAGGGGAGGACAGTATTGATTTATGAATTTAGCAAATTCTTAATTTTATGTGGGGAGAATAGCCATGTACAGAATTTGTCAAAAAAAAAAGGGTGTGACTCCTGAGACTATTGATTTATGAATTTTAACAAAACCTTAATTTTATGTGGGGAGAATAGCCATGTATAGTATTGTTCGTGAAACTTGGCTGATCATGACTCCCTATACAATATTAATTTTATAAATTTTAACAAAATTTTAATTATATGTGGGGAAGAAAATCGTCTATGTCCTTGTTAAACTTGGTTGATTATGGTTCTCTACATGAAATAAATGCTAGAACAAAGGCTTATAGCCCATAATAGGATTGGACTGATTGCAATATATAAAAGTTCTATCTATTTGTTTATTTTTTCTGGATTCTCTCTCAAATGAAAGAAGGAGATATAAACCAAATAGGAGAGTTCTGCAGTTAAACCATAAAGCTTCCTTTAGATCCCCCCCAAAAATCAATGCTTTTTTGTTGGGAAGTTTGCCATGCTTGCATCAATACGTGCAACTTGTTGCAAAAGAAAAGATCAAACTGGTGCTTGTCTCTTAATTGGTGCTTCTTGTGTAAGTTGAATGATGAGAATGCTCACCACCTCTTAATCTCCTGCCCCTTTGCTGTATTTGGCAATGGTTTTGCTCTCCTTTTGATTGCATGTACATCCCTCCTGTTAGATTGGATAGACTCTTTAGCCCATCTTTCATGAGGAGCACTAAGAGAAGAGGTAGAATATTGTGGAGATGCACAAGGGCAACGGTAGTTTGGACGATTTGGGCGGAGAGGAACTCAAGAATCTTCGAGGAGAAAGAGAAGAATAAGGAGACAATTATTGAGATTGTTATTCTAAGGGTAGCACACTGGGTGAAGACCATGAAGTTTTTTTTTTAGATTTTACAGTAGAAAACCTCTTCAGAACTCAGAAGTTAGGGTTCAATTGCTGGCTCATTGTCTAGGAAGCAAAGAATCCATGAGGTTTGGTCACCCCCAGATGGAGGATGGATGAAATTAAACTTTGATGGAAGTAGTTTGGGAAATCCGGGACCCTCTGCAATTAGAGTGATTCGGAATGGGGGTGCATATGTGGATTGTTTTCGGTGCAAATTGGATAAGGTGATTCAGTTAGGTCAGAGTTAATGGCTGCTGTTTTGGGGGTATAAAAAGCCAGGGAAATGGGAACCACAATGTTGATTGTGGAAGGGGAACAAAAATAATAATTGGGTAGCTGAAGAAAAGAGAGTGGGTGATTTGGCAATACAGGAGTGATCTCAGGCTGTTCAAGATGTTGTCAAGAGCCATGAACATTCAAGCTAGTGTTTGGAACCGATGCTGTTTTCTTGAACAGTAGCGCCACATCAGCTCCATGTCTGAAATCCGTTTTTTCAGAACACACCTGATGTTTGGTTATATGTTTTTCCAAAAAAATGTTTTCTCAGACCACACCTTGGAAATCAGCAAAGGTTTGGTCTGAGAAAATGTCCCTTTTGGTGTTTTCTCATTTTAGCAACAGTATGCTGATGTGGCATTGGAAAACACTTATGTGGCAGCAACCAGCAATGGTTCCAAACAAAAAAAAAGTTTTTAGAGAAAATGACAAAACAGTGCAGAACCGTTTTCTCACAAAACACCTCTCAGTAAAGGGCATTGGTTCCAAACATGGCCCAAGTTAGATGGTTAAGGTCCGCTAATGGATTGCTGATGGATTAGCTAAGCAAGGAATGCATAGAAATCACTTGTATTGGGCTCAATTGTAATGGGATGGTGGGGTTCTTTTGATGTAAAGGGTGTTAGATTTAACTTCTTGTTGTAACCTATTTCTTAATTAGTTTATAAGGTTTTCTTTGTTGCTGATAAAAAAATCTGCAGTTAAACCTTGTTTAGTTTATTTTATTCATTTGCACTTTTAAATCAGACTCAAAAAGTTTTCTCTGCCCTTAGCATAGATGTAATTAAGGGAATATTTGTCTGATATCCCGAATGGGACTTACCAAATACTAAAAATCCAATCACTAGTCTAATTGGGTGAATTGTTTTATGTGAGAAATTCATAAAAAAAATTCCATTAATAGAATCCAATGCAAGTTTAACATGGTTACTTAATATGTCTAGGAAGGTACATGCAACTATGCAACACTTGATGACACCTAACTTGCAGTACAGCACAGGGTTTTGGTCTAGGTTAGTAGGTAAGCTTTGTTAATCGATGACTGTTGGGCTGTTCACACCTTTTCACCTGACATCTTCTCAAAAAGCATTTAGGGGCAAATTCAGTGTTTCTTAAATGTGTCTCCTCTTATTACCTCCAAAGTTTTGTGTTTCTTTCCTATGTTAAAATTTTAATTTATTGAACAATAAAATTTCAAGTTATGGAAAAAACATTTGCAAGTAGTGTTAATGGCCTTAAAGCAAGTTTTATATTTGATATTTCAGCAGAGTTTGATTTCTATCCCACTTTTGACATACTACTTTTTGAAGATCAGAGTTTGTACACAGGGCCGCAAAGGGCATCTGTTTGCCCAAATTTGTATTTGAATTTTTTTTAGAAAGAGTAACTTTATTAAAGAGCAATGAAGAGTACATGAGATGATGCACAAAAGGCTAGCCTCACACAGGGTACATAAGCATTACACTATCACTATAGAGGTTTTCCCTGTGAGCACCAGACTTGGCTAAATTATCTGATATAGAGTTTAGAGTCCTGGGAATCCAGATTAAAGTTGCATCCAAGGAGTATAAGAGATCTCTAGCCTCGTCCAGGTAGTGAGCCAGTCTCCAAGGTCTGCCTTCCTTCTCCCCAAGCCACTTTATCGTGTTTCTAGAGTCACCTTTGACCACCAGGGTGGTCAAGCCTAGTCTTCTTGTGATAGGAGGCCATTTAGCAGTATTTGAATTTTAATCTAATCTGATTAAGGTGATCCAAGTTTGATATGCTTATAATTGGGTCTAATAAGGATTTACCCCAATTCAATCTGATATTATCTGGTCCGATCTAGTAGTATTTAATCATTTAAATTTATGCTTATATCATCATTACCCAAGCCTTATTCCAACTATATGGGGCTGACTACATGAATCCTGTTTCACCATTCTATTTTATTCAGTGCCATATCCATTGTTAATTTTTTTTGATGAGTCATATACATTGTTAAATTATGGGTGCTTAATCATTTATTACTACTTCTCCCCAACTCCTTTTTGGTCTGCTCCTAGCTCTTCTAGTCCCTTCAACGTGTAACAGATCACTTCTTTCAACTGGTGTCTTCCGTGCATGTAGTATGTATCTATTGGTAAAGTTGGTTTGAATGTTGTTGTTTAATAAAGATTCATAAATTCAAGTCTCATAAAAGTTGTTTTGAAGTCATTGTATTGATGATATACAATATTAAATTCATTTTTAGTTTATCTTACAAATAATATATAATTTTTTGATATTTTTACTTTAATTTATTAATCATATTCAATATCTCAATTCAATCTGAATCTGATGGATAAGCAGTTTTGTTCAAATTCAAATGTTAATGAATCAAATATGGATCTAGGTATATCTGATTCCATCTGATCCATTTGCAACCGTTCATGTTGTCAGTTATCCTGTTGCATGTTTGCACACAACTATTATAAGATTATGTGGTTAACTTATCAACTCATTTACACTTGAAGGGGAAGTTCTTGTGTTGGTAAGGACCATTTTTTTGGGTAAAATGGTAAGGACCATGCATAAGATATTCTAATGGTTCTAACCTAATAATGCCATTTATAAATTAATGTTTCTCAATTCCACCACATAGCTGACAGCTCCATTTAGGAGTAGGTAGGGCTTTTTTATAGTGACAATTTCATTGCCATGTAGCAGTTTTATTTTACTTGGTATTATTGTTTTTTGTAGTGGGTAGAACTACTTGTTCATATTTTGTTAATTGATGTGCATCTCCTCCTATATCTTCCTTCTTTATACGTAGAATACACTCCATTTATCATATCTTGAAGGGAAAAATATCATTAATAATGTAGCTCCTTTTTTTACATGTAAATCTATGATTTTCTTGAATGTTAGATTTTGTATTTGCATACTGATTGCAGAAAAATTACCTACAGATAGTAGTGATTGACGAGGTGGATTCTTTTCTCTTTCGGCCTCGTTTGGGATTAAGAGCAAAGTACCATGCTGTATGTCTATCATTTTACTGCAATTTGGCATCATTTGAATTTTTTCTTTTGATCTCAATGTTTGTTAATTATTGGCTACTTTTGATATTGTTGGTTAGAAATAATTGCTATGCTTTGTTTGGGACCTATAACAGTGACAAATTTAAAATTTTTCTTCCTTATTTTCTGGACAACCAACTGGTTGTTGGGAAAAGAACTGTTTTTTTCCCTATGTTTTATTTTGTTCTCTATGCAATCAGACATGGCCTTAATGACCAACCTGTCCAGAACCCTGGTGGGAATAGGTTGCTTAAACAATTTATTCTTTGTTTGTATTCTTTGTATTTTTAATCTCAATGACTTGGGAGTTGGGACTTCCATCTTTTTCCTGACTATATTTTGAAATCTTTTGGAAGCTTCAAAATAATATAGACCATGTCAGCTGATGTTGTCCATTTTCAGGTCAACTTTTTGAGCCAAATTCGTTTAAGCAATAAAGGAGATGGACCAAAAGTGGCAAAGCGTTTGGTGGATGTTTATTTTGCATTGTTTAAGGTATGAGAGGATTCCTTGTATCGGAAATTCCAAATCATAATATTTACTTCATACTAAAGCATATTCTTGTTCCTTGGGGAACATACCTTTTGCAACCTTGTTACTAAGATTCTGATTTCACAGTACAAGAATATGGAAAAACTAAAATGTTCCACAGTAAAGAACATGGATTTGGGGAAAATTGTTGGAAACTTTGGGGCAAAGTTGTGCTTTCCAGCTGATGTGAAGAGTCTCATGAGTGCTTGGTGGCTAAGGGGGGTTAAGTAAGGCTGGCATAGTAGCTTGGAACATCATACCTGCAGCAGTTTTTTGTGCAGTTTGGTGAAAGAAATAACAGAAGCTTTGAAGGGAGAAGAATTCAAAAAAGGAGATTTTCAAAAAAAGTTTTGGGCATGTTGTTTTTGTGGTTACCAAATCACTCTCTGTTCAAATTCAGACATACAAGTTTGTTTTTGGATAGGGATTTTCTTTTGGTCAGAAATATGTAAATTTCTTGTTGGTTGGGTTTGTTGTAATTGGGTCTGTTGGGTTTTCTCTAGTACAGGTTCTCTTTGTACAGGGGTTCTGGGCTGATTGTATATCTTGGAATATTTTGTTTTATCTTAATACAATACATTACCTTTTTCAAAAAAAAAAAAAAGAAAAAACTAAAATGCTCTCAGCAAAAAAAGTGGTGGCTATAAACACTAGGTTGCAGATTGTGGGCAAACTATCTGCTCTTGTGTTGTGGTTTGTTATCTGTTCTTGTTCACCTCACTCTTGATTGTTTTTAGTAATATTATCAACTAAAAAGTTACACAGACTGAACTCCTTAAGGTCACTTTGTTTTATAAAAAAATTAAAACAAAATTTGGGAGTTGATTGTTGAAGCAGCAGGGTTTTGCATGTGTGTGTGTTGAACTATTGTTGTGTTTCAATATCTACCTTTGCACTTCAGTATGGGAGCGATGCTTGTGCCCAGGCTTAATTGATAAACATAAAATACTTATCTTTGACCTGTTTTGTGGTAGTATATGATTCAAGTTATCTTGTTGCCTAGAATGGATTATTATTAACTTTTGCAGTCACATTTTATAATTTCAGGTCCTGATTGCTGAGGCAGGTGGGGGTAAAAAAATAGATAGTATCACGAAAAGAGATGGTAAAAATGGTACAGACTCCCCTAAAAATGGTAAAGGACAAAGTGCTATGGAATCTAATGTTGGAATGGATTCACGACTTCTTTCTGGTCTTTTAACGGTCAGTGTTGTTTTCTTTTATTCGTAGCTGCAAACTCCATTTATAGGCCATTTGAGCTTACTCTAAAACAATTAATCTCAAGTAGTAATGTTTTTGGTCATTAACAGATCCAAGAGAATGATATTATCATATAATATACGAAATGAACAATCTGCTATAACGTCTCCTTAATTGGAGAGCACCCTATTTTGAGCCTTCAGCTGCACTTTTCTTTTTTCCCTACCCCTCATCCAACCTCTTACAGAGTTTCACATACATCTCACGTTCTCAACTTGATCCACTCTATCCCTTGCTTGAGTTTTAGTAAGTACATTAACTGATTTGTTAGGTCTTAACTCTTTCAAATGAGGAGTTCAAATTACAGGTCAGGAGTCCTGGGCAGTCAAGAAACATGTAGTATGGAAGAAATCCATATGCTGAGATGGATGAGTGGAAAAGCTAGAAAGAGTAAGATAAAAAAATGAAGTCATTCGAAGGAACCTAGGAGTAGCTCCAATAGGTGATAAAATGAGAGAAGCAGACTAAGATGGTTTGGTCCAGTGCATAGAAAACCATCAACAGAACCCGTAAGATGTAGCGATCTGTTGCAAGTTGAAGGGACTAGAAGGGCTAGGGGTAGACCAAAAAGGAAATGGGTCAAAGTAGTAAGAAATGATTTAAGCGCCCATAATTTAACAATGGATATGGTATTAAGCAGAACAAATGACAAAGAAACCAGGATTCATATATCTGATCCCATATAGTTGGGATAAGGCTTGGACGATGATTTTTTTTTTTTTGTTTTGATCAATTACACAGTTGATTAATTATCACAATGGGAATTACAAAGAGGAAGACAAACTTTCTTATCTTCCAACTTCAGCTTGAGCCCCAAGAAATGAAAAAGAGAGAAAGAGAAAAGGAAAAAGGAAAAAACAGATTTAAATTACAACTGTGCCAGAACATTGACTTCCTGTCCACCCCTTGTTTAGCTAACCCTTCAGCAAAAGAATTAGCTGATCTTTTTACCCAACTGATTTTAACTTCCATTTCTCGAACCAGCCATCTGAATTTCCTTCTCATATTGCTATATCTCCATAAACCACTATCGTCTTTATTCAGCCACCCTACCACCACCTTCGAGTCCCTTTCAATTATGAGTTTTCTGAGATTCATCTCCCTAGCTTTCTGAACTCCTTCCAAGACTGCATGGATCTCAGCTCGAAGGGAGTCGCTACTCCAATTGGTGAGTCATCCAAGACTCATCATTCTGGTCTTTATGGGAAGAAAAAAACTCCAGGATCTTCTCTGAAGAAGAGAGAAGTGCTGAAGATCTGAGGGTGGTTGTTTTTGTGGTTACCAAATCACTCTCTGTTCAAATTCAGACATACAAGTTTGTTTTTGGATAGGGATTTTCTTTTGGTCAGAAACATGTAAATTTCTTGCTGGTTGGGTTTATTGTAATTGGGTCTGTTGGGTTTTCTCTAGTACAGGTTCTCTTTGTACAGGGGTTCCTTCCACCTGTCATCCACCTAATAACTACCTGTGAATCTCCTTCCACCACCAATCCAGATGGCAATAAGTTTGAAGTGAGCTGTAAAACATGTAGTAGTGATAGTAGATCTCTACTACAGTTGCGAACTCCAATGGGTCTGGAGTACAACTGTATCACCCCTTTGTGGTTCTGGAAGACCATATTTCCTGAACTACCTTGGTTCCAAACAGTGCTCCCCTCGAGCTTTCATTTATGCCAAAGACCCACCTTGAACTTTCAGATTCTGGCACTTTGTCCCCACTCTGTTAATGGCTTTGATGGTAAGGATTAAATTACGAAAATGCCTATCCAAGGTTCTGTATTCTTTTGTATTTTTCTTTTTGTAATTTTTTTTTCAAATTTTTGTATTTTTGTTGTATTTTCTAAATTTTTACTGTTTTTTTCAAATTTCAGTGTTTTCATATTTTCCTGTTTCATGGTTCTTCCCCTTTTCTTTGGCTACCTTAGGAAGTTAGGATCAAAGAGAGTAGCAAGGTTTTGTCGAGGAGTCTGCCTACAACCAATGAGAGAAGAAAACCATTCCAAAATACTAGATATAAAAGCAGAAGAGATCAGTAAATGGGTTGTTGTCTCACCACTAGCCTTACAAAAGATACAAGTGCGAGGGGAAAGACACCAAAAAGGCTTTCTTCTCTGAGGCATGCCACAATTCACAAGTATTGATCCTATTTAGGTCCACCTCCCAACAAAAATTCCTGACTTTAGGAGGCACAGGCCAAGGCTGGAAGGCTGCACAAGCACATTGAAAAATGAGGCACAAACAAACAACTCAGAAGAAGGAGACCATATCCTACTACCCGCGCAAGAGAGATCCAGAAAAACTCTATTAAACAAAGCCAAACTATTAATAGATAGAAGAAAACTCTCCTAGGCCTCTCCTAAAACCCAAATCCCAATTTCCCCATTGAAAGAAAACACAGAAATGGGTCTCAACTTATAGGTAAAAAAAGAAGGTTTAGGAACTGCTCTTTGAGAGGAGATTCCCCCACCCAAAAGTCTTCCCAGAACAAACCTTATTACTATTGCAAACATCATACCTGATATGATTGGGAAAAGGACGGAGAAAGTGTGTGGACGTTGGGAATTGAGAGGAGACTTACGTGGAATCATTTAAGTCCTTTTTTTTTTTTGATCGGAAACGGTAACTTCATTAATATAACTTAAAATAACTTTCCAGATTTAAGTACAGCTTTCAACCCCTAAGTAGGTATTGAGCCCCCAGTAATCTCTCTTACAAAACTGCCCAGAACATACTCTCCCTCATAGTCCCTTGTTTAGCCAACGTGTCAGCTAAACCGTTAGCTGATCTCCTTGTCCGTTTGAAGCATGCACCGATCTCCCTTGTTATGTTGAGGATTTCCCTTGTGGGCTGTCTATAAATCCAGGCTCCCAACTTACTAGATTGCAGCCACTCAATCAACAATTTAGAGTCTCCCTTATCTCAATTTGGTGTAACCCCAAGTGTTTTGCATATCTTACACCTTGAAGCAAGGCCATCACCTCCGCTCTCAATGAGTCCCCCACTCCTATTGGTCCTTTAGTTGATATTGATGTTGAATGTGGCTTTTGATTACTTTTCCCCAGGCCTTTGATGGCTGTTGGTGGCTGATCTTAGATAAATTTGGAGGAGAAGACAATAGAAGAGAGTGAAAGAAGGAAACCTATGAACTCTTAGAGATTCTAGAATAAGTCTAGGGCTATATATATAGTTGCAATTATTATTTTTTGATTGGATATATAGTTGCAATTATGCCAGTCAAAGTTCAGCTGAAAAATTAAACAATGACTCAAACTTATTAAACACAAGTAAACTACAACTAGAGAAACCAAACTATCTCATTGTACAAAGGACCATATGCTTTTGATATTAGTACAACATTTTTTACTTCACCTTTTTAAAAAAAAAACCAATACGTTGGGCCCCATTTAACATATTCTAAAATTACCAAAATACCCTGACTGCCTAAAAATACAAAAATTACATAAAAAATGCAGAAGTTCCAATTTTGACTTGTTTTCTTGTATACTGTCTAGTCTTCACTCAATGTTCAACTCTCATAGTTATCGAATCAGTTTGTAAGTTCTGTCCTAGTTAGAGAAGATTCTCACACTTCTTTCTTCTGAAATGGTGTAGTCCAAAGTATTTGTTGTTGGAAGGGGCACGAACATTCAGCTTTAGTTTTAAATTTCTGTTTATTCCTTACTTCCTTCCATCAGTGGGTCTAGATATGGTGATTGTAATATCAATTTGCAGAAATTGGTGAATCTTATTCTAAAAATCATTTGGATTTTAAAAATTTGATGGCAACCCCCGCTCAAGTTTTGTCTATTTCCAGTTTTCTTACTCCCCCTCTTCTTTTTTCCTCTTTCAATTGATATGGGAAGAGGGTATCAACAGGTTATTTTAAACATTTTTCATGACTATTTTTTCCACTGTTTTATTTATTTATTTGTTTTTTGCAATAAATACTAAGGTACTTTTGAGACTGTTCTGTTCTTCATTCTTCTCAGGTCTCCTGTATTCACATTCACAGTTATTTTGTTTTACCTTTATAGTTGTTCCATTACCATGGTTATTGTTTGGGAGAGAATAGCAGGAGTACTGAAAGCAATAATTTGATAATTAAAGGAAAAGCTGCAGTAACTTCTTGTATTTTGTATTTGACTGGATATATCAAATTATCATATTTGATCGCTGATAAGAGAAGTTACCATATTTGATGTATTCCTTGTGGTAGGTTTCTTTAAAGGACCCACTTTGAATGGTAAGATTGCAAGCTGGGATTATTGGTTCAAATTACAAAGATGGAATTCTTTAGGATGCTTTTGGATCTTGGGAGCAGAACTGGTTGGAAATTCTGTTGCTGTCTCAATCCTGTGAGATGGCATTTAAAGTTCTGCCAAAAATGGGTCCGATGATCTTCTTTTCATTAAATTTTGCCATGCTCATAAATGAACTCAAAAGAATTATAGATCCAAGGGACTGACAATTCAATCCCCTCACCAAATCCAAATCCATCCTAACCCAAATGCAACCTTAGATGATGTGATTGTTTGAAGCATTTTTACTATAAGTGCTTGTATGGTTACATATTTCTCCTATGAGAGATAGAGCCAAAGCTCTGGTTGATGTGGTTCTTTTTGCCTTATGTATGTTTTCTTTTTCTAGTTCTTTCCCAACAGTTTGCAAGTTCAAAACCTCAACTAACTGTTTGTGAGGTCAATTCTTAGGAAAACATTATATGAATATTTGGAGTTTTATAAAAAATATTCAAATGTACAATGCTTCATACTAGATTATATGGAGGTTAATCTTGTTTCAACCAATACAGAAAAATGATCTCAGTTAGCTCTCATCTTTACAGGGAGTCAACAGAGCATTTCCTTATGTTGCAAGTGATGAGGTTGATGATGTTATCCAGGTCCAAACACCGATGCTTTTCAAATTGGTAAGCTTGAGAGATTGATATCTACTCCAGCATGATCGACAAGCACTAGTTCATTTAGTGCTTATACATGAATTTGTAATTGTTAATCTGGACGTCTGGATATTTACTTTAGTATTAATAGAAATCAGAATTTCAATTCATTTTCCTTTTCGTTTTTTATTGTTTTTTAGGCTTAAGGTGTATTGTTTGTTCTTAAACTAGATCTTTTAAATGCAGGTACATTCAAAAAATTTCAATGTTGGGGTTCAAGCTTTAATGCTTCTAGATAAGATTTCATCCAAAAATCAGATTGTCAGTGATCGTTTTTACCGTGCTTTGTATTCAAAGCTTCTGCTTCCTGCTGCCATGAATTCTTCAAAGGTATCTGATTTTGGCTATTTATTCCTCTTAAATTGGAAGGAAAATTTTATAAAACAGTTGTAAGGCCAGCTATGTTGTATGGAGCAGAATGTTGGGCAGTCAAGAAACAACTTGTCCAAAAAATGAGTGGCAGATAGGGCTGTACACGGGTCGGTTTGGTTCGGTTGCACACAAATTTTCCAACCGAATCGAACATCTCAGGTTGACTGTTACATCAACCGAAACCGACCGAATTAGAACAAGAACTGAAGTATAATAGTATGTCTCGGTTTGTCAGTTTGATCGGTTTATACCAATCCGAGTAACTCTTTACCTTAGTCTTGATTTGATTTGGGCCCACAACCCAAGGAAATTGATCTGTTTAGAGTTCAACATGTAAATAACTAAATATTTTATTCTTTTGTTAATAGTTTAGACAATGAGTAGAAATTACAGCCTATACACCCCTAAAAAACCTAATATTATTGCTTTATAATTAATTATTATTCAATTATTAATCTCTCTCTCTCTCTCTCAAAACAATATATTATTATTATTATTATTATCATTTTTAAAAGTAAATCAAGAATTAATATGAGATATGAGAGAGAACAACTAATAAGTTTGACTTTTGATAGAGAGAATAATTATGCCTAGGGACTAGGGGTCAAGTCACTTCTCACTTATACAATGCCTAGGGGCTATGCCTAAGGATCAGACCTTCACACCAGTCATTACTTAACTGCCTCTTACGAATTGGGAAATGGGAATTGAGACATGGGAGTGGTTGAGTTAAGTTAAGGTCACATGTATTATTAACATGTACTCGGTTTGGTTAGGTTTTATTTCAGTTTACAGATTTTTAAACTGCAACCGAACCGTTCAATCGGGTTATGCTTATTTCTAAACCGAAACCGACTGGCTTATTTGAGAACCGACCACGTTGGTTCGAGTTGGATCGGTTTGGTTGGTTTTTACACTAGTGTGAACAGCACTAATGGCAGAAATGTGTATGCTGAGATGGATGAGTAGAAAAACTATGTCAAATTCTTCTTCCCTATATTCCCTAAACCCAAATTTCTTGCCTTTCAAACAACTTCACTACCCTTTTCAAGTTTCTTGCCTTTTGTGGGTCCTCACCTTCATAAAAATTGATTGTATCATCTGCAAATTGTAGGTGAGTTACTGAAATGTTGTTCCTATCAGTCCCCCATCCTCTACAAAGATCCACTCTACCTGCTTTCGTCATTGTGGATATCATCTTTTCTATGTTTTCTTTATACTGCTTATACAGTTGCTTTTTAGTGTTACTTCTTAAAAGCACAAATGCTATATTATCTATAAATAATTTGTAGTACAAGAAATTGTTTACCAGTTTTTTCCCCTTAGGTTTTTATTCTGTCTATATCTAGAAGTTTTCTTGGGGATGAACATTGTTTCCTCTATTAATTTTCTATATAGAAATTATACTTCACTTTATCCTATAAAAAAAAACTTCACTTTATATTCTTACATAAGCTGAATAAAATCCTTATAGATTGTCATTCTTTTCTGCAAAATTTGCTTCTTTGCATTAACCTGATTTTATTTTCAGGCGGAAATGTTTATTGGGCTGCTCTTGAGAGCTATGAAAAATGACATAAACTTAAAGCGGGTTTCTGCCTTTTCGAAACGTCTTCTGCAGGTTTGTGATGAAAGAGATTCTTTCTTATTTTTCTTTACTGGATACATGAGTTTCTGTATTGGAGGTCTATGTATATCTTAGAGTGTGAATTTATACTTCCTGAATATCCAGWWAATCCTTGCCTATGCATATTTTGYATTAGTTGTAAACTTGGAAYAAGGCTTTGTCGAGTACTTGAGTTGATTTGGTTCAAGTTGTTATGTGTAGAACTGTAGATACCCATCTTATCCATGAATAATGGTGACAATACCTTGTCGAGTACTTGAGTTGATTCGTGTAGACAGCCTCATATAAGGCTTTGTCGAGTACTTGAGTTGATTTGGTTCAAGTTGCTATGTGTAGAACTGTAGATACACATCTTATCCATGAATCATGGTGACAATACCTTGT